TTAGAGTCCTTCACACCGTCTGCTCTTTGGGTGTGCTCTTCCCCTGACTCAGTGAAGGAGTGTAATAGAGGGAACTTGGTGACAATCCTATGTAGGCAAAACCCCTTTGTAGTTTAGGAGGGTGGAACAGTAAACATGTGTTAAGTGACTCCCCGTGTTTACAGCAGACCTGCTGGACTCGTTCATACAAAGCTCAGTGCAACAGACTTGTCTATGTCAGAGTCCTTTAATCTGAAGGGAAATCTACTTGGATTTAAATACTGCAGCTTAAAATTCTTTCAGGAGATATGAGAATTCTGGTAAGAGGTTTGTTGAGCCTCAGCCCGTGCATCTACAGTGTACTCACAGGACAGGAACCCACCAGAGGATTTGGCTCCTCAGCCATTGTTAAATTTGTTTGGTTAATTTGCAGCCCATAAAGTGTCATTTTACCACATGGGTCCCACACCTGGCAGTGGCCAGGGAGAGGAATTTCCACTGGGCTTGGGTCCTGGGCCACCTTATTTCGTTCATCATGGGGTGTCATGAGTGGAGGTGGTTTCTATCATGCTTGATTATGAGTCGTCTACAGCAGCTGTCAAATGGTGATGACTGTCATTACTGACCTAAACCTGCTTCAAAGGAACTATAAAGTGTCTGCTTCTACAGCTAATCTCACTGGCCATCCCAACCCTACCAAATTATTATTTAGAGAATTTGCTATGATCAGAGCACCTACTGGTTAAGGGTGTTTGGCTGAAGAAATAAATAACTGCCATTTGGTCTATACCTTTCATTGATTTCGTCTGGGTTTTGTTTTCTTTCCTGTTGGAATTGATTTTGGTGGCTCACAGTCCAGGCTAATGAAGACAATTAAAATGCCAAGCGTAAGGCGCAAGCAGCAGGAATGATTGAGCATCACCTCTGAGGAGCCTGCTGATTAGAGCTGAGAATGGAATGATGCTGCCCCCTTGTGGTTGAAAGTGGCAACTGCTGTTAAAGTAAAAGCCAGTGGTTTTTCTAATATTGAACTATTTTTTCATTAAAATCATGAATGGATATAAAAGAATAATAAGAGATTATGAAGATTTTGGTCCAAAATAATTAACCATATCAGCTTCTGAAATGATCTCCAACGGAAGCCCTTATGACCCTCAAGCACTGACTTCTTAGGGACAAATGACAAGTTCCCACGGTAGTCTGAAACCATGTAGAAATCGGGTGGAGGGAGTACCCCTGCCTCTTTTACAGCAACATCATGTTTGTATTAAAATTTCAGTTTCCAGCCATAATTTTACATCATTGAAGCCAATAATGAAGCCTATTCTAAAACAAAAAGCAACAAATCTGCAATTACATTAATATTACCATCTTCTGCAACTCATCTCCGTGGGGCATTCAGGTGCCATAATATATGTTAGTTGAGGTACAATAAAAATAAATGGTCCTCCTTTGCCCTCTGTTGAATAATTCAAGGAATATTTACACATAATTTTTTTTGACTAAAGGATATTTTTTAAACTTTAAAGAAATAATATTCTATAGTTAATCCAAGTTTATTGAGTCAGACAAGAACAGGATCAAGAAAAATAGACTTAAATGACTCCATGAAAAAAACCATGAGAAATACCCCCAAAATTGTTCAGATATTTCTGGGGGTGAATTATGGATAGTCAGAAAATATCTTACTTAACATAGGAATTAGCAGAAAATAAGATGGTCATCCTGGACCAGTTAACAATGTCACAGGTCAGCGCAGCCTCAGATTGCTTTTCTGCCAGCAGCCTGGTGGGCAAAGGGGGCACAGCATCTTTCCTTCCTCCTCCAGGAGACTTTTTACTTCCCAGACACTATGCCTCCTTTGCCCTTATTCTCTCCCTCTATCACTAAGATTGAGAAAATCCTTCTGGCCATGAGGAAGGACACTGATCCCTTCTACTACACAAAATTAACTTAATGAGGACCCCTAAGCACTGCATTTAAGCGCAGTAAAACCAGTGCATGAGGGTCCAGCCTTGGGGCAGAGCCCTGCACCATCCACACGAGGCCTCCACTCTCATCCCCCCACCCACTACAGTAGAGCACAAAAGTCATACGTGTGCATCTACACACGTGGGGGGAGGATTTAGTCCATGTACACACATGGGGGAGGGGCAGTCCATCTACGTACAGGGGGAGGGGCATGCATCCACACATTGGGGAGGGTCAGTTTGCACACATGGGGGATAATCCTTCTACACATGTAGGTGGGGGTGAGGAAGGAGGCAATCCTGACTCGATTGTAGATGAGGTGCAGAAATTTAAGGAAATAGCCCAAGAAGTAAAGGGCAGAAGAATTATGGAAAACAAAGTGTCCAGGGGAAAAAAAGAGAGTGTGTGACCAGGAGAGCAGAGTAGCAGGGAGTCAGATCTCTAAAATGGGAGTAATCCCTCGCAGGAAATCCACTGTGAGGATCAAGGGTCGTGTGTGTGTGTGTGTGTGTGTGTGTGTGTGTGTGCAGATGCCCCCTTATGCACACACCCCCAGTCCCCTAGAGAGGACTTAGTAAGCGGTAGCTGCTTCTGCCCCTCTGGTTCCCAGCAGTGCCGGCGCCACCACTGAGGTGGGTGTTGCTACTGGTCCCCTGTAGAGTGGCACTTGGGGGCCTCTCAGATGGCGACTGTGCAAACACTGGGAGCACTTGTCCTTAAGGATTAGTGTGTCTGGCTCAGACATGTGTACCAGGTGATGATCATTCTTTCTGCTGTGAGTTTTTTGTCCACAGTGAGAACTTTCCGAAAAAGTATATTCCTTTCAGTAGCTTTTCAGGAAATTCTAATTGAAGGGGAGTGAGCCAGGAGTTTTGACTGTTTCTCTGAGTTCCATCCTTTATTCAGTAGCTTGTAATAATCCCCTTTCGTCGTCTTCCTCCCTGCACCGTCCTGACAGTCTGGGCACCCCTCATATTTCATTACGGTCTGCTGGCCTCCCCTGCTGAGAGAGAAGAGAGAAAAGAAGAGAAACATGTAAAGAGATGGAGAGAGGTGCCGGAAACCCCGTGCTAGGCTTGCTGGATGGGTCTCTGGCTATTGAAGAATTCACACAGCAAACGATTTTTTAAGAACCTGGCAGTGTGTAAATAGGCATTGATTAGTCTGTTGTGTGCATGAATGAGTGGATGAATGAACAAATGCCTACACAAGAGATAGATGTTTTTTGTCTGTGCTTCCTAAAATATCCTATGCTTTGGACCTGTGTATAAAAGTTTATTTAGTGTATTTTCATAGGTTACCATGATTTAAGTGTTTGCTTGAATGTATTTTAGAAACCTATTGTGGCACCAATTCATAGTCTTGGTTTAAAGCGAATTATTCTTTGCATGAACAAATCATAAAAGAAGTGGTTATTTCACTCATTCGCAGCTGTCCAAAGGCAAACGTGCAAACATAATTTGACTGTTTATTACTGTATGCCTGTAGCGTTTACAGGAATAGAACACAACCAAACGTAGGGAGAAAGAAGTTCTATATTACACAGGAGGTTCTGCATTTATATCCTTACAGAGCCTTAGAAGGAGGTGTCCATGTTGACTCAAAAACAGAAAAATAACCTACTTCATCTCCCAGGATTTTCTCTGCATACATTGTAGATAAGAGTTTCTTTTTCTTCAGCTTTTTATTATTCTTTAACCTCAAATATTCAAATAAATGTGATAATGTTTCACCTGGAGATAATTTGGTCCAGTTGAACTGCCTTTGCCGAAATGGCTTTTATGTTCCCCCTTTCAGGGTGCACAATGTTTGCCACTAAGCCCCCCGAGCGCTGTCTTGGGGTTAACACTTAGGGATGGCTAGATACAGTTGCACCTCTGTCACTGAAGCAAATGAAAATGTAAACATAAATCTTTTTCAAGAAAAATATTGTACTGAGTTTTGATTCATTATCAGAAGACAAAAATATTTATTTGCTTTCCTTATGACACTTGAGATTAAAGTCTGTTTCTTTAACTTAGAATCTTCTAGAATTGAGCAAAGCAAATGTTCTTTAAACAAGGCCTCTCTGGTGACAGATCATTGTTCGTTTGATATGCTGCTCTATTTTCAAAATATCTATAACACTTAGAATAGTCAGCAAAAGTAATCTGGCCATTTCCATGTAGAGGCATGGTGCGCTGGAACAGGGAGCGGTAGCCCCCAGCACATGGGAGCATCCTCAAGGGGCTGAGAGCGGGGGCTTTGGAGCCAGAGACAGCTGGACGCACCTCGCCCTGCCACTTAGCTCCTGTGACTCTTGGGGAAGTTACCACTCTGCTGTGATTCAGCTTCCTTCTCTGTGAAAGGGAGACTACCTCTGCCTCCTACACAGGGTGTGTGGTGGCTATCAAATGAGGACAGTATTTAACGGAGTCCCTGGCACATACATACCAGGTACTAAAATGTACTGGGCACAGCATTCATCCTTAATTTGTAATTGTTTATAAATAGGTCTTATTTACTGCTGGAGATGTATTCTTAGCACGTACTTACATCCGTTCACTTGAAAATGCATTTATTGAGTGCCCACAGCAGTGACCAGCCCTGAAAATCAAGTCACATACTCAGAATAGATAACTGTGTATGCAGGTGAATAGAAAGACATTCTGATTCATTAGCTGTATTGGCCTTAAAACTTCTCAGAGAAAAGCAGGTCTGGGGAGCTGGGGAGATAAGAGATGGCTGGAGGGTTGGGGGGAGGATGATGAATTGCGTTTTTGCAAAAGCTATATAATAATCATTTTATTACTCTTCTGGTTTTAAAAAATGAATCCCAATGAACATGTATTTATTTGCTGTGGAGTACTTGGAATCTTTATTTGAAGACATGGAGAATCCATCTCCCAAACATATCAAGATAATAAGATATCTATTGCTTCAAATCCTGTGCTAGTTGCCTGTAGGTTCCTGCTTTACATTTTTAGATGAGGAAAACAGGGACCTAGACCACACTCTCCTGACTTTGCTCCTGCCTGAAACCTAATTACATGATTCGGATCTTTCTGCAGGACGACGCAGCCCTCTGCCCCCCATGTCACCACCTAAGGACTGACCGACTCCATCGGCTGTGCCAGCTTCTGCTTCCGCCATGGGGCCCGCAGGGAGCGTGCTGAGCGGGGGACAGATGCAGATCGTCCTGTGGGGCAGTCTGGCAGCTGTAGCCATGTTCTTCCTCATCACTTTCCTGATCTTTCTGTGCTCTACTTGTGACAGGTGAGAGCCAACACGTATCTACTGGAAACTTAAAATAACATGTTCCCTGTACCCAGAGGAGTCTGTATATAAAAAGCCTGCTATGAATGGAATCCCACTGCATAGACAGAAACTCACACATTAACTCACTTCTCTCTGTTGCAAAGGGCCCTAGGACATTCTTAATTAATTGAACGAAATCCACACTGGATTTTCTGGGAGCAGCTGGAAGAGCCTTTATATTTTAAACTTCCCAGAATGAAATTCTTGCTGTTCTTTTGAGCACACCCTTGTCAAAGTTTGTATTATCTCTTTCTATGTATGGACTCTGAAATCTAAGTGCAGTATGCATCTTCTTGCTGCCACTTTGAAGTAACAGAGAATTTTTGCTATTGTATGGCTATGGAGGGGTCATTTATTATTAAAGGTGTGTAATGTAGAACTGAAGTTTCTTAAGAAACAGACTTATTTTCCTAGAAGAGACACATGCTATCTGTGAAATATTTTTGCTATTGTATGGCTATGGAGGGGTCATTTATTATTAAAGGTGTGTAATGTAGAACTGCAGTTTCTTAAGAAACAGACTTATTTTCCTAGAAGAGACACATGCTATCTGTGAAATGATCAGTCCTTTCTTTTAGAATTATATTGTCTTGTATAAAATGTCAATACCTCAAAAAAGAGATCTTTGCTCAGAGAGAAGTTCTTTCTAACCAGGAGTGTCTTCTCAAGACACTCGGGATCTGGTACGATGCGTCAGCCTCCCGCTGGAAGGTATGCTGCTGGGGTCAGTGCAGAGCAGCTGAAGGTCAGCTGGCCCTGTCCCAAACTCTCTTCTCATCCTCAGAAGAAACTCAACCACTGTCACCTAAAAGTCTGTTATGGATTCTTACCTTAAAATATCTCAGGATTCTCTGAACGCAGGCAGCCTCCTAGTCCCTGCCTCGTTTGAATTAAGGCCTCCATGGCTGGGACAGGGTCTGACTGTCCAGGAAGATGAAAAAACAGGTGACAGAGCGTTGGCTCCCCAGGCCTGGGCGGACCCTTCTCGGCAATTATTTACTCTCCCACTAGGGGGCCCTCTTGCCTTATGCACCGATGGGAAGTGTGTTCTCTACAACTGATGGCTTTCTTCAGACTGTCCTGAGTAAAAACAGATTCTATTTTTACTAGATGGACTTTTCCACAGACTGGAAGTACATATGACTCATCCTGAGAGCATGTACTCTTCCTGATGTGCCAAAACATGTATTTTCTTTCTTTTCTCCATCCCACGGCAGTGTGTGACTTTGCAAAGACTCTAAGTGAGGAGATGAGGTAACTGTCTGGATGTTCTAAGGAAAAAATGGTGTAACTCATTCCAGTATTCTAGGAATCAACAGTCTCTACTCAGGACCCTGCCTCGATCCTCTCGTTGTGAACTTGTACTTTCTATTCCTGGAAGAAGGGATGCACAAGAGAGGTGAAGGGTCCCTTGCTGCGACTTGACCTCCCAACACACCTCACACCTGCAGACCAGTGATCAGTAACTTGTCTGGGTTTTTTTCTCTTGGCAAAATGAATGTGACTTTTAAAAAAGAAAGAAATTTAAATGTTTATAAGAATTAGGATGGGAAAAAATAGTGTATGCTTGATCCCTAAGGGGGCACATTTAACATTAGAACAATGTTTTATTTTCTTTTTCAGAGAAAAGAAGCCGAGACAGCACAGTGGGGACCATGAGAACCTGATGAATGTGGTGAGCCCATGTGCATATGTGTGTGTGTGCATGTGTGTGTGTGCATGTGTGTGTGTGCATGTGTGTGTGCATGTGTATGTGTGTGCATGTGTGTGTGCGTGTGTGTGTGTGCATGTGTGTGTGTGTGTGCATGTGTGTGTGTGTGCATGTGTGTGTGTGTGCATGTGTGTGTGTGTGCATGTGTGTGTCTGTTCACCCGTAAAAGACCAGCCACTTACCTGAGCGTGTTCCCACATGCTGTGACCGGAATGAGACTGAGGGAAGGAGCTGAGCCAGAGTTACCCGTGAGTGCCTGGGCCGCACCCTCTGTCTGTAGATTTATGTTCACCGTGGCCAGAGGCTGGTGCAGTGAGCCAGGCTTGTTGAGAGACCTTCTGGAATGGATGCAGCGGTGCTACTGCCAGGAAGACCCTTAGATGGCCCCCATCCACCACACAGAGGTTTCTTTTTTGCCTCTGCCCAGCTCTAGCAGTGTATTGTTGGCTAGAGCTGTCATAATAAAGGAACACAGACTGGGTAGCTTAAATAACAAATTTATTGTCTCTCAATTCTCGAGGCCAGAAGTCTAAAATCAAGGTGTTGGCAGGGTTGGCTTTTCTTCTGTGGGAGAATCTGAATTTGGGGGGACACAGTCCAACCCAAGAGCTGGTCATTAAGCTAACCAGAGCCTGGGACCCACAACACCCTAGGCACAGCCTGGCCCCAGCCCCCAGCATCTTATGGGGTCCTGATGAGTCCTGAGGGTCTCGGGATTCACCATGGGAAGGAGCAGCCTGAGAGTGTCCTGGTCCTGCCCGAGCCCCGGGCAGCGCTGAAACAGAAGATGCTTCCCCTTCAGGACCTCATTTCTCAAGGTCAAGCAAAAACGGTTGGGGGGAAAACGTGCAGAAAAGGAAGTATGGATGAGTCAAATAGATCATGAGGTCTGGTGAGAACACTCAGCCAGCAGACACATAGTCAGAGTTCACACGGCAGGTGTCTCAGTTTAGGTGGCCGGATCTGCAAATTTGCACAAGTCTGTGAGCCTGAGCAGGCGGGAAAGTGTCAGGACTCCCCAGTCCTTCTGGGGCCCCAGGATTTTCCTTCACTTCTCTCTGCTTGCTCACACCCTCCTCACCCTCCTGCACTCTCCTGGGCCCTCACACATCTGCCTTTACCCATTCCAGTCTCTAGTTGGCCACATGGTCCTGTCGTCCCCTTCTCATCTGCTCCTGGCACTACTGTTCAGCCCCAGCCAATTGCTGCTGTGGTGCATCAGGAGGAAAGGTGGCACAGTGGGGGAGACCCCAGGCCCGCATCTTGCTTCACCCCACCGCTCCCTCAGTGCCTATCAGCACCTCCATCCCTCACATCCTTCTAGAGCAGTGGTTCTCAAGCACGGCCCAACCACCAGCTACAGTCGCAGCACCTGGGAGCTCATTGGAAGTGTGACTTCGCTGGGTGCGACCCAGTGAAGGGTAGCAAGTCCTCCAGGTGGCTCTTGATGTCTGCTCAAGTGGCAGGGCCACTGTTCTAGACCTTGGGTTCCTGTTGTTCTGCCTAAGGTCAGCAGCAACCCTGGATGAGGTGTGGAGAGAGTGGCAGGTGGATAAAAGGAAGACTGGCTCTCCATGTGTCCTGCCTCACATTGCCATAGCCTTAATTACTACCCCTGTAGCCTCATTTATATAAACGTGTATTTCCACAAGAGAGAGAAAAAGTGCACACACACAAGAATGCACGCTCACACAGATGGCAATAACCATGCACACACCTAGAGCACATGCTTACATGGGTAATGGACACCACACACACACACACACACACACACACACACACACACACACACATACACATACTTGCCTGCTCAGCCCTAAGAGCTTCTCAGCTCCTAAAACTTGTACAGTTTGCAGATTCCTCATCACATAGAAACTAAGATTAGAAATAGTGTTTAGACCCTAGATTATGGTAGCTTCAGCTGTGGTGGATTATGCCGGTATGGGCCCAGCTGGAGGCTTCCTCCCCCACACCCATTCCTGCCCAGTTACATACCATTTCTGGGACATTAGCACCCACATCTCAAGTCTCCGGTAACCCAACACAGTGACCCTCATAGGGCTCATCAGATGCCGGAACTGAAACAGCTGACTCCCAATAAACTTTTGGATCACGACAGAGCCTGGCTGTTTATTATTATTTGGGTCCCAATCAGGAGTCAGAGAACTTGTGAGGCCAACTAGGCAAGGATCCTGTGCTGTTTACATCAGAATTTTCCATGTGGAACCCTGGAGCAGGCCATGAAGAGGATGGGGAGCAGATCCTACTCACTGTGATGCAGGCTGTGACCTGGGACCAGCTGGGTGTTTAAAGAAATGTAGGAACTACCAACTTGTTTTCTGACCACTCTTAGCGAGCGCTCAGCCTGGCATACTGTGCCAGGAAATAGCTACACATTCTAGTCTGGCAGAAAATAAATCATCAATGCTATTCTTCCCTCCAAATGTCCTAAGTTTGTGAGAATTAGAAAGGTTTACGAAGCTATGTTTAGCATATGATTGTTTTTGTGAACCTTGGAGCCAGAGACTTGGTTGTTTCTGAAATAGTCTCAGAAATCAATGGCATTATCTGTCTTTGAGCAGAGTTAAGTCTGTTCCTTTCAGATGACAAAAGCTGATGCTTCCCCATGTTTGCATGGCATGGCACACCTCTAAGAATAACAATTTACAGCACCTCTGTTACAGGGGTGAGTCTGCTCCCTGCTGGAGTCAATATGACCAGCACTGGGACTCCTGATCCTCTCCCTGTTTTGAGTGAAGGGGGCTGATCTCAAGACCAACCTGCAGCCCATTTGTAGATCACCAGGTGGGAAGCTCTGCAGATGGCCTTGGAAGATTGCCAGTGTCCCTAAGGTTCTGGTATAGCACTGTCTAACAGAACCTACCCCAGTGATGGAAGTGTCCTGTGTCTGTACTGTCTGATTTGGTACCCACTGGCCACTTGTGGGCTATTGAGCAGCAGAAATGTGACTAGGCAATTGAGGAACTCAATTACTTATTTTATTTTATTTTATTTAAACCTAAATAGTGGATTTGTTTCTTCTTGTTGCCATGGATATTTTCCTCTGCTTGAGTTTAGATTCTTAGCAATGTGATGTGTTCGTGTTTTGCAGCCTTCAGACAAGGAGATGTTCAGCCACTCGGTTACGAGCCTGGCAACAGACGCTCTTGTCAGCAGTGAACAGAACGGGGCACTCACCAATGGTGACAGTAAGTTCTGCGAAACTACCAGCTTTCCCCACGGCCCTCATCACCCACGGAAGTACTAGATTTTTTAAAAATGTAACTCAAAAACTAGGAAATGAGTTCTTGCTCATTTTTAGTACTGCTGCCAGTTTTGGCAAAAAAAAAAAAATTCATTTGGATGAATATGATCTCATATCTATGAATTGCCTTCTGTGTTTCAGTCATTGCTCTAAGATTAGTATATGTACTAACTTATATACTCTACTCTGTAATAGTACTGTTACTAACAAAAGTAATATTATTACTACCCCAGAAGTTGGGTATTATTACTATGCACAATTTAAAGGTGAGAAGATGGTGGCATATCATTGCTGTAACAAATTATCACAAACTTAGTGCCTTAAAACAGCACAGATTTACTGACTTACAATTCTGGAGGTCAGAAGTCTGAAATGCATCTCACTGGGCTGAAATTAAGGTGTCAGCTGGGCTGTGTTTCTTCCCAGCAACTCTCGGGGAGATCCATCTCCTGCCTTCCTCAGCTGCTAGAGGCGCCTGCATTCCTTGATCTGTGGGCTCTTCCTCTTTGCCTCTCTCCAACGCTCCTGCCCCTCTCTTTCACATATCAGGACCTTTGCAATTACGTCGGGCCCACCTGGATAATCCAGGATACTCTCCCCATCTCAAAGTCAGCTCACTAATTAGCAGCCTAATCCCATCTGTAATTTTAATTTACCCCTTGCCATGTGACATAACATATTCACAGGTTGTGGCACATGGACGTCTTTTGGGGGCCATTCTGCCTACCACAGAAAAGTTAATAATTTCATCTAGTCCAGGAGATTTTCCCACATTCCCCTTAGGGATGCTATCTCTAATCCCCTCAAAGTGAGACACTAATTTAGTAACTTGTTCCCTACGGTGTAAGAACCCTGAGGGCAGGGCTCTCTGTTTTGTTGAATGACGTGTCTCCAGCTCTTTGAGCCATCCCTGGCCCGTAGTAGGCACTCAAAAACATTTTACAAAGGGATGACTGGCTGACTTTACACAATAATGTGGCAGTGCAAGAATTTCACATCTAGATCTTCTAATTTGAGGTGGGAGTGTGGGGCGGGGGGTGAGATGGAAGAAGGACCTTTAAGGAGGCATTGGGTAATGCTGGCTTATGGGTACACTTTCACCCAGTTGTCTCCTAATGTCTGCCAAAGGAAAGTGACCCGTGAAAGGGGATGCCTGTGAATAATTCCCTCCAAACAGGCAGAGGCCAGTAGGGCCAGGGAGAGTGGCCACCACATATGCTCCCGTGTTTGGTGTGGCCCCATCAAATATCACTTCCATCCTCTGCTCACGTTCTGCCTACGAGAATCTCATCAAGAGTAACAATAAGTAAGGAAAGTCACTGTGAACCAAAGTATAGCCGGGATAATGTATGGAATGTTGTTCTGGGAAAGACACAATGGGTGGCTTTAGTTTAAACTGTGACTGCAATGAGAATATGAACTGACAGTCAGGGAGAAGCAAACATCTCAGTCTAACCTAACTTTGCATTATCCACTTCTCTGTAATAATTGTTTAAGGAATTGACTTTCTCCACTTCTAATGCTTCTGCTTCTTTAGTTCTTTCAGAAGACAGTACTATGACCTGCATGCAACATTATGAGGAAGTCCAGACCTCAGCTTCGGATCTGCTGGACTCCCAGGACAGCACAGGGAAGCCAAAATGTCACCAGAGTCGGGAGCTGCCCAGAATTCCTCCTGAGAGTGCAGTGGACGCGATGCTCAATGGGAGAAGCGTGGACGGGGACCAGGCACTGGGGGTGGAAGGGCCGTATGAGGTGCTCAAGGATAGTTCCTCCCAAGAAAACATGGTGGAGGACTGCTTGTATGAAACGGTGAAAGAAATGAAGGAGGTGGCCACAGCTGCACACCCGGGTGAAGACCACAGCAGCAAGTCGGGGTCTACATCTGCCTTGAAAGAGCTTCCGGGGCCCCAAACTGAGGGCAAAGCAGAATTTGCTGAATATGCCTCCGTGGACAGAAACAAAAAGTGTCGCCAAAGTGTTAATGCAGAGAGTATTATTGGAAATGCATGTGATCCGGAAGAGGAGGCCCCACCACCTGTCCCCGTCAAACTTCTGGATGAGAACGAAAACCTCCAGGAGGCGGGAGAGAGAGAGGCAGGAGAAGAGCCAGCCGCAGGGGGGACCGGAGAAAGCAGCAAGGTGGGCTCCAGCGTCTTTGTTCCAAGAGCTTTTGTCATGATTAGGAATCTAGCTGGTCCTGGGGTTTGTACTTGCACATTCTGGGAAACACATACAGACATTTTCACGTTTGTTGAATGATGAAAGCTGTTTTGCTGTAAGCTGTGTTTGGCTTTTTCCCCCCTCCTAATAATAAAATACTGAAAACTCATGTTTATCAAACACTTCTCTCTCAGCACCTTACTTGGATATTTTCCACTTTTTACATCATGTCTAATTAGGGCCAAGTATTTTCTTCATTATGAAGACCAAGAATTAAAGAGACTAGACTCTTGCCATACAGTTTACCTCTTCTACTTGTTGCCTCGAGCAGTGTGGCGACCTTTACCCATTTTCTTCATTATGAAGACCAAGAATTAAAGAGACTATACTCTTGCCATACAGTTTACCTCTTCTACTTGTTGCCTCGAGCAGTGTGGCGACCTTTACCCTTGGAGGATCCCAGAAATCAGAGCCTCGCAACACACACAGCAGGGACCGACTCACAGGTGCCGCTGCTTTAATCTGACTGTACATGTGTTCATATAAACCAAGAGATCTTATTTTATGACAACTTCTAAGCAATAACCAATAGTTCTTATGTTTAGATATTCAACAAAGCTCTGCAATGTATTAGCAATCCACTGCCTCCTTGATATCTGAGCCACAATGAACTTCACATCTCCAGTTGTCAAAATCTCCTTGGGATTTAATTAGGCCCAGTCTGCTTCAGGCAACTAATATCTTATTTCTGTTCTCTACAGAGAAAAAAAGCAATGCTGTCTTCTGTTGAGGTTTTGGTAAGACAAGTAGGGGTTAGTCAGTCGATAGTAGCCTTAAAAGACTTCTGGAGCTTGTGGTCAGAAGGCGAACCCCATTTCTGGCTGTATGGGTTAAACCAAGGGAGTCATTCTTCATAGTATTCACTGAATGCATGTCAGCTTTTCATATCATGCCTGAAATCAGCTGTTGAGAGCACCAATAAAATAGTTTATGAACATGTTTATAAATTGCAAAAATGCAGTCTAACTTTTTGCCTTTTATAGAACCAAAGATAATAAAACTGATGTAAAGTTTATGCTGCCTAAACCAGTGAAAGCTTTTTACTTACAAGCATTTGAAAGATAAGAGGGTCAGTTGTTTAACCATTGCCGGTAAGTATAGATTTTCACATTAGAAATTGGAAATAAAAAAAGACAAAAAGGAAAAAAAAAAAAAGAAATTGGAAATATCTATCTAGGAACCAAATTACCTTTCTACATAATAATGAATAATCTATCATCTCCATATAAATAATCCAAATTTTAGGTGATTTGGAGAATTTTCAATGTTTAATATTTATTCATTCGTTCAACAAAGAAGACTTTAATGAGCACCTACTGTGTCACATGATCTTCTCGGTGCTGGGAATACACCATTGAAGAAAACATATAAATGCATAAAAATTCCTGGAGCTTACATTTTAGTGGGAAGGTACAGACATCAAGTTTTAATTTTCTAATAAAGGCATGGAACATAATAAGGGGGATTGGGAAAATGGAGATGGGGAGTACAGTTTTGGATAGAGTAGTCAGAGTCTGCCTAGCGATGTGACGTTTTGAGCAGAGTTAAAGGAGGTGAAGGGACGAGCTGTGTACTTTTTGGAAGAAGAGGAAATGAGACAGGGAATGGCCAGCGTCAAGCCCCTGAGGCTACAGCTTACCTGGCTTGTCGCAGGAAGAGGAGGGGCACTGGGTGGCTGGAGAGGGAGGAGCAAGAATAGTGGCAGGTGGAAAGGTGGTGGGCTCCATCCTGCATGGCTGGGCTTACCGTCTGATTTATGTCATTAGAGAGTCTTAAGCCGCAGAATGGCACAACCCGTCCTGTGTTTTGAAAGGCTCCCTCTGGCTACAGTTTTGAAGTAGACTGTAAAGAGTGGATGCAAGGAGACCAATTGGGTGGCCATTCTAATAAACCAGATAAGAGGTGGTGGTGGCTTGGGTCAGGGCAGAAGGCCACAGCCAAGAGATTTGCTGATGGGTCCTATGCGTAGTGAGAGAAAGAGGAGACAGTGATGAGTCCAAGGTTTCGCCTGAGCCACTGGAAGGATGGAATTGCCATGAACCAAAGCAAAGAGGACTGCAGAGACGATTTTGGCAGGAAAATTGGCACTTGGTGTTGGAAATGTTTCACTTGAGATATGGATGAGACCTCCAACTAGAGGTATCAGGCAGTAGCTGGGTAGATGAATGGGTAAGAGGAAAGGCCAGGCTGGATTTGCACATTTGGGAGTCATCAGCAGAAATGTACTTTTTACAGCCACGAGATTGGACAAGGTCATAGAATGGGTGCGTGGAAACAGGGACCAGAAGTGTGCCGAGAATAAAGATGTGGAAAAGGAACGAGCAGAGGAGACCAAAGTAGGAGAGAAACAGGAAAGGGCGGGGTCCTGGGAGCCACGTGAAGAAAGTGTTCGGGGAGGAAGGAGTGAAAATGCCTCAGATGGGTCAGGAAGGTAGTCACGTTAGTGACATGGCAGTCATTTGTGCCAAGAGCAGTTTCCTTGGAGTGGTGGAGGCAGAAACTTTACTGGAACAGTTTAGAGAAAGAACAGGAAGAAAAAAATTATTTGAGTGACTTTTTAAACAACTCTTGTAAGAAATTTTGCTATTAAAAAAGTGAAACAATAGATGAGCTGGAAGTAAGGCTGGGTTGGTTTCGTGTTTAGTATGAGAGAAATAACAGCGCGTTTGTGTGTGGGTGGGATGATCCCACAGAGCAGGCAACACTGAAGGCACAGGTAAAATGGGAGGGTTGCAGGAGCTACACTCACGTGCAGGTGTGAAGGGATGGGATCCAGTGCTAGGGGGAGGATGGCCTTGAAGAGGAGCATGGAAAGTTCAATTGTGGTGACAGCAAGGAAGGAAAACAGAGGAAAGCAGAGGCTGGGGGAGGAGGAGGAGCTCATAGGAATTTCTTCTGAGTCCTTCAGCTTTCTCAGTGAACTGGGAAGCAAGATCATCAGCTCAGAGTGAGGTGAGGAGATGTTGGAGGTTTGGGGAGAGGGGAGAAGAAGCAAAGTAGACTGTGAGGAGAGCAGGGACTGGCTGGACCAGGGAAGTGTCCCACCATACGAGCAGTGTTAAGGGCTCACTCAAGGGCTGAGCTCACTAGTGACCAGGGAGGTCATTTAAAGTATGATTATGATGGTTGACTATGGAATTGAAGCTTGGTGAAGCCAGGAGGGAAGGACATCAAGAAGGGGAGACGTTGCAAAGATGGCTGGATCCCAGCAGAGTTGAAGGACTGTTGGGATTGGGTTATAGGAGTGAGCTTGAACAGTGAGTGCTGGGCTGAAAGGGGTTGCAAAGAGCTGGGATGGTGGAGAGACTGTGGCTTAGGGTGAGAGAAGGTCCAGGGCGCAGCTGTGAGAGCAGTGGTGGGGTCGCATGGAGCACAGGACAGTGGGGGAAAGGAGGTGAGGAACTGAAGGACGGGATTGGAAGGAAACACGCATGTTGAAATCACTAAGAATTAAGACAGGAGACATATTAGAGCGAGAATCAGCCAACCAAGAGCCAAAATCATTGAGAAATCAGGCGGGGGGCAAGCCACAAAATATGAGTTGATTTCTGCATTAGCTTTGAAAAGTTTCCAGGTGACTTAGGATCTTCCTGATGATGCCTACTAACTGTAGAAATATAAAATTCAGGCATTTGATAAAGAAACAGCATGTTTTTTATTAACAGTCCTTCACTGGTGCTCAATCCTTCGATGACAATTAGGAGTTGAAGGAATAATTTCAATAATTATTTTGGCTTATTTGTACCTACAGATTCAAACACAAAATTAGAAAAAATTTCTCCACGTTTAATACTACTAGGTATCCAAGAACATCATACCATGATAGATAGTATAAGTGTTTATTTCTCAGATGCTTCACATAATTTCTTTGTGGTTCCATAGGAATTATTTTTAAATGTTCTTATAGACAGATACGAGGAAACATATGCAAAAGAAAATGTGGATTTTTGATTTTAAAATACTTTCCTTTGGTTTGTGTTTGTGTTCTGACAGAGATTTAGTTCGTTGTCGTACAAGTCTCGGGAAGAAGACCCGACTCTCACAGCAGAAGAGGTAAGTCGTGTATCTGTTTAAATAACCAGAAAGCTCCTGTAATAAAGAATAGAGCCCCTCCCCTGAATAATCGCGCCGTAGAAAGAGCCGATGTACTCTCTTAAGCCTGCATTGGGATGTCGGCTTTACCGTGGCTGGAGAGAGTGACTGGCAGGTGGAAAGTCAAGAGGGACGGCAGGGTGAACAGGTCAGCTCAGTGAAAGGAACTGAGTCGGAGAAAAGGATCGGGAGAAATGGAAACAGGAAGGGAGAAATCGGAACAAGGAGAGAATAATTCCAGTGTGACAGCTTTAGTCGGCAGGTAGGAAGGCCATCATAGAAGGAAATTAATAGTGGGTGAGAAAATTCAGGAAACTGGAAGAGGTGCATGTAGCATATTTGATCCCACCTGCAAGACAGAAGGAAAAGATGAGGAATTTTGAACACAGAGAGCAGGTAACTTCGGGAAGTACATTTCCAGGCTGGAGCTAGGGTCAGATAGAGCAGCCAACAAGGGTGGATTGTATATTTCCCAGGGCTGAAAATTCACTGTTAGACTTTCAGTGAAGCATTAAAACTAGAGAGGCTGGCATATATATATTATCGTGTCAAGCTAGGCTCAGACAGAAAGCTGAACACCCTAACTAATCTAGCTGCATGTAGCATCTATCTGGAATTCCTAGCATAGCAAACTTCATGCATGTACAAGGCCGATGTACCTATGCAGGTATACCCCTTCCTATATAGGACTCTGAGATGAGTCCTTAAATATGAAGATAGACTCCCACATCGAGAGTTCAAGGAGTAGACGTGCTTTCCTTAGGTGATATTATCCCCTCCTCTCCATGTCCCCTAACCCAGAAAATGGACCTGCCATCTATCCACCTGGTGGTGCAGGCCAAAACCCTGGGGGTCGTCTCGATACCTCCTTTCCCTCACTGTCCTCAGACACAGTCAATTGCCAGGTCCCTTTGATTGCACCTCCAAACCATTTCTTTCATGCACCCCTCTCCCTCCACCTCCACTGTGGCCACCCTGGCGGTCCCCTTGTGCTGGGTCACCTGTAGCTCCTTCGCCTTTCTCCAGTCTGTCTTCTGCCAGAGTGATCCCGTTTCGGACAAGAAAGCAAAATATATAGGAAATCTGGGAACTAATTTTTTTAATCAAGACTATGTAAAATTTTAAATTACTTCTTACATTTGTGGTTTTTGAAAATAGGACCTAATTATACTTGTACTGATGAAATTCTTAACATGAAATAAATTGTGATTCACAAACATTCACTTTAGGAAGAAGACTGAGGAAAAATAAATATAGAAATCATTTATTTTTGTATTTGTGTAATATAATATTTAAAAAGCCCAGACTGAAACTGAGATCTGAGCTTCCAGTACTCTTATCCCAATTTAACAGAATGATGAAGAAAGAATTGATTATAAAAAGAGAAATGGGAAAAAGGAAAAGAGTAATTTATGAAAATATAATAATTTACAGAATGAGTAGTAAAGATGAAAGATTTTAAAGAGAAAAACTGAAAAGCTAAATAGCAAGGGGGATTGAAGAGAAACTTGTATACAAAATAGAAATAATAGTCATAGAAGACAAATATTCAAGAAGAATATTAAAAGAATTAAGAAGCTTTTATAAAAATTGAAATGTACAGACACTCTCTGCACACCAGGTTCATGCCCAGAGTCAATATTAAGCTGCAAGTTAATGAAAGAGCCTGTAATTTTAAAAGACTACAAAGTCCAAGAAGTGAGGGCACTCTTACAAAGAGTGGGGGTAGCATTAATGGCAGGGCCTTGGGGAAGAAAGGAGGAGAGAAACAGTGGTGAGGGTCCAACTACCATTGTTACAATCTAGATCAAGGTAAGTTTGTCCTCCTGATGACACCCTTGAAGGTGAGGAATAAACTGGTAGCTGGTTCCCCTCCTTGCTGTCATCCATGGTTTTTTCTTTTATAGTCAGTCCATATTTTTGGCTTGGACCACCTTTTAGATAATAAATTCCCTATGTTTGCACCTCACTATGAAAAACAGTAGATTTTTTTTATTCTTCATAAATTCAAAGAAATTATCATTCTTCTATTTTGAGAGCAATTTTTCTATTAAGGCCTATAAGGTGAGAATGTGAATTTAATATTCATTAGAGCAGCCAGATCAACATGACAAGAGTTTTCCAAAGACTGTTTCTCTGACTATAAACCCTGGGATTGTCAAGGCCTAGCAAAACTGAGCCACCAGCCAGCAGTGAAAAGTTCTCATTTAAATGACCAGTTAACATGCAGCAGGCCTGTCTTAAGAAGCTTCCGAGGCCAGCTGGAAACTTCACCCACATATGTGAGATATGTGAAAGCAGGAAAATGTCTGTCAGTACTTGGGAAGCCAAGCATCTGTCCGGAAGCATGTTTGTTTATTTCCTGGGTGTTTGAAAGAATCAATCACTATTGAACAGTAAATGCAGGTAATAAAGGGTATTTTTACTTATTTCCAATCATGATTTCTAACAATAAAATATACCTCCCCAAATCTCTGAATCAGTACTTTTAATCTGTCATTACCAAAAAATTAAATCTCTCTTAATATTAGAGGTTATAAGGATATATTAATGAGACTGCACAGGTGTGCTTAGAAAACAGCCTGTTCTTACCATAGGAAAGAGTGTCCCATAAGTTGTCACCAAATTTCATTTCTGAGTTGGCTGGTTGCAGAAAAGAATGAATTTTCCCAATGAAGAAAACTAAACTTAGTCTGTGAATGTCTATTACTCAGTAACATCAACTGAGTCAAAACATCATGGAAAGCAGTACCCTTACAGATACATGTGTACTGCCAACCAGAATCCAGCAACTGCTGTTCAGACCACTTCGATGCAGGAAGCGTGGGACAGTCTCATTCAGCGGTTCTCACACTGCGGTGGGCATTGCAATCAACACGGATGGCTGGGCCCCAGCCCCCGAGTTTCTGAGTCAGTGGTTCTGGGGAGTGCCTGAGAATTGGCCTTTCTGACAAATTCCTAATCCAGCTGCTGCTGGTTCAGAATCCACATTTTGGGAATCATTGGTCTAATATGTTTTCTGCTCTTTTTTATAAAGCAGTAAAGCGCTTTTTCAGGTGAAATATCTTTCTGGAATTAAATAAAACATGATGTTATGGTTAGACTCTCTTCAACCACCTCAGCAGACCTAAGGGAACTGGGTTTAGATGGAAGTCATATGACTGATCTGCAGATAATGTATACAGTTATTCTGTAGTAATGTACTTCTGCATTACTACAGTTAATAAAGACAAATCTTAAAGTCAAGCACACATGTGTGCATACACACACGCTCACACACACCAATGCCCATGGATACTAAGTATGTAGCTTGTGTCACTGGAAAGGGGGTGGAGGAGAAGTCACAGCTTGAAGCTTGTTTATACAATTTACCCATTGCTTCCTAGATCTCAGCCATGTACTCATCAGTGAATAAACCTGGACAGTCAGTGAATAAATCAGGACAGTCGCTTAAAGCACCAGAATCCGCCTACACCTCCATTCAAGGGGACCCTCAGAGGTCGCCCTCTTCCTGTAATGATCTCTATGCCTCTGTGAAAGACTTTGAGAAAACCCCAAACAGCGACAGCATCAACACGCTTCCACCAGCAGGGAGACCCAGCGAGGAGCCCGAGCCTGATTATGAAGCAATACAGACTCTAAACAGAGAGGAAGAAAGGGCCTCCCTGGAGACCAACAGCCTATTTGGCCTTGTCCCAAAAGAGAATGACTACGAGAGCATTGGGGACTTGCAGCAATGCAGAGATATCACCAGGCTCTAGCAACCCAGACGACAACTCTAAGTAGCCTGTGATCAGTGTTTGGAGACACCTCTCCTGTGGACAGTAAGAAATGACACACACCTCTACTGTATATGCTGCTTTAGTAAACTGAAGACAATCGGAGATGCCCGGACTGTTCTTCCAGTTTCTGAAACAGTGAGGTACGTACCTGGCTGCACCTGAGTATGCACCTGCCTGCCGGGGGACAGACACACCCAAGCATATCTCCCTCATCCCAACTGTCAGCGGCTTCATGCCTTGCGTGAGGAAAGCCAAGCCGCCAGGGAGAAGCTCACTCCTCGAGAACTGCTGCTCCACCTGCCTGAAGAACTGCCCTTCAGAAGAGCCAGGTTTTCCTTCCTTTTCTCTGTCTGCTACTAACTTTAAAATGTATGGCTTTTCCCTCACCTTGAAATCTTCTTATTTCTCTGGTTCATTCCAAGGCATCCTCTCACAAGGCTTGGCCTTTGCCTTCCACATAGGAGTTTTAGGATGGTGAGAAATTGTGCTCGCTGGTTTCCATCCAGCTTGCCAGTCCTCTTCAAGGAGCTGCCCTGTCGGCACCTGGGACTCCCAACCCTGCAGGTGAACAGGATGGGGAGGGAGGCCCTTGGGTCTCTTAGGTTTTCATTCCTTCTTATTTGGCACTGTGCATCAGCAATCTCTCCCCAAAGTACTTGAAGTCAGTTTTACATACTTTATTTTATTTTTCTAGTCAAAACGTTTTTTTTTTTTTTCTCTCTGATGTGAAAACAAATCAAAGCCTTTTCAGTATTTTCAATGAATGTCATGGTACTTCTGTCCTTGTTTAAGCCCAGAGCTCATTCCTGAAAAACAGAGAGCCTTAATCTTTATGATGGGACCCAGACCCCATATTTGGACGGCAACCATGGTGTCCATCCTGGAAGGGCTGTGGAACTGAATGTGTCTTTCCAATGATCTCTTCTGCCCACACCAACAGTGTGGAGTTTCATAAGTTAACTGCTACCCTAAGGTAATCTATCTAAGATTAAAATGTAAACATTTATTTTTGTTATATAAATTTATAAGATGTTTTCTGTTTAATGCCTAATTTCTAGCAAGTGCCAGAAAAAAATGTATAGTGACTATTTTGGTTTTGTGTACAATGATTTATACTTATTTTGAAAAAGACACCATAAAGCACATAAGCAAGATAATAACAAGTAGTTATCTTTTTTCCAAACCAAGTATTTAAAACATCAAAGGTTTTTAAAGACTCAAATGGTACTTGGAGCTCCTGATCCAAATCACCTAGACCACTGAAGAAATAAATGGAATAGACATAAATAATTATTTTCAGTGGTATGTGGTGGGTAGTATTGAAATATTTGAAATGGTAAAAATGGAACGAAGAACAAAGTATGACTAGGGGTGATTGTGAATTATGAACCTCATAAAAGTATCATAATTTCATTAAGATTGAATTGTATTTCCTATGAAAACAGTGATGAATTCTGCAGTCCAGTGCTTGCCAAGGCACAGTGCCCAGTGTAATTTTTTTTCCTTCATTTTACAGAAATTAGTGGCTGAAATAACTCAGATTAAGAGCTCAGTCTGGTTTGAATTTAATCATTTCTTTAGATCTTATAAGGCCAATATTGGAAAGCCTGTCCACTTTTCATTTTAAAAAGAGCCTGGTTGAAGTGCTATTATGAAGGGTGGGCTGCAGAAAGGGAGCTTTCCCTCCACTGATAAAGAAAAAAATGAGACAGTTATTCTATATTGCCGTGACATCTGTGACTTTTCAGATTTAATTATCTAGCTGTTTTCCTTCATTATGACAAAGAATGCAATTGGGAGGATAAAGCGTCTTGAATATTGTAGAGACCAGCTCGCTGGCATGCTCCGCCCTTCCTGTACTTATGGCTTGATTTTGTAACTACACTGTACTACATATCTGAAATTGTAAAGTGAGCTGTGTTATGGTAAACTGATTGGTTGTCATTGTTTTTCCATCAGCCTGGTCTCTCCTGTGAAGACATCATGTGCATAAGCACAGGCCCCATTGATTAGAAGATATGGTAGAATACCTTAGATCAGAGGGAAGTTTATCAGGAAGCGAGGTGTTTCCTCTCCAAATTCAGGTCTTTCATAAGCACTGTTTTGCTTGGTGATTTTCACTGCTTTGTATTAATGAGCTTCGCCCATCAATCTCTCAGGTCACAGGGGTTCCTTCAGTACATAATAATAGCTGTGTCACACCGCACACCTCACATCATGCATGCTGTAGCAACATCCTTTTGGGCACCTTACAGCTCAAAAGTTTGACCACATTTCATAATGTCTTACTGCCAGGGAGGTAGATATGATTTCTAAAGTGTAAAACCCTTTCTATAGAGTGAAGCTCTTTATACAAGGGGTCTTCAAAAAGTTCATGGACCTATTTGTATTATCTTTTAATTCCATTTTACCACGAACTTTTAGAAGTACCCTCATAAATAATCATGTCATCTTGATATTTCATTATCAGAATTTCCCCCAGAAGTTTTCAAATATAGGCTATGCAATATAGCTGTAAAATATGCACTGAAATATCTCTCTTAATTTGAGAACCAGGGGTACGACTAAGTTGGGATGTGAAGTATTATGTGTTCTTTAAAAGAAACATTAAGACCCTCCAGCAAAAACCCTAAAAGAAGAAATGATATCAGACCTTGAGGGTGGGGGAGGGAGAAGCTCTTTAGAGCTTTGGGTACTTTATTTAAAATATTCATTTATGTATCATAATGTTTTGACCTTATAGCACAGTTTTTCATAAATTTTATCACTTTTAATTTCTTCAAAATGTGTGCTTGAATCTTTGAATTGGACAAAAACTTATGGCTTTTTTTCTTAAAGTTTCATCTTAAGCTAAATACTACAAAGTTTAAGTATATGAAACGTAATTATCAAAAACAGAATTTACTATATATTTAAAATTCAACCTTGATATTTATATTAGGCATCCAATTATAATGACCTAGTTTATGTGAAATTATATAAAAACATACAAATGAATTTTAGGATTTCTTTTGTCTTGTAAATCAGAATTATAAACCTATCTTGGTTAGAAGTGGGATCTTTGTTTTTATTCAGATATTTTGAAAGTTTAGAGCATTTTTTTATGTTGCTTTTAATATTTCTACAATATAGCCAGCAGAAAGTGTAATCTGTTTTACAAGAAATGTTTGAGGAAATCTTAAATTCTACAAGAAAGTCATCTTTGCAAATATGTTGGCTACATATATTTTTTCCTGTCCTGAACTAAATTATATCATTAAGTCTGTTGAAGCTTTTGAAGTTACCACCACTCTTTGTGGGAGGAAAGGCAAATTAATGATTCATCTGCCCTCAAAATCCCAGAGTTAATTCTAAGTGAGTGCTAAATTAACAATAGGTAGTCAATACAAAGAACAAAAATTTAAAATTCAGTATGTTACTATATTTATTTCTCTTGTTTGATTTTCATTTTTCTAATTAGATCATTTTACTTACATTAACCAGTTAAGAAACTATAC